AAACACTAAGGTCGGCAAGGTCTGCGGTGAGTGGTGTACAAGGAGTGGCAGTTATGTGGGCTGAGGTCATCCGCAACTCCTTAAAAAAAACAGCGGGGTCAGGCATGATGGGTACGGAAATGGTGATGAGAAGATAACAATGATGGATGACGATGATGGGGGACACACGTGCAAGTACGTACCGCATATGCTTTCAAATAGAAATGGTGTCGTTGGTGGATGTGGACGTAGTGTGCAAGGGGTGGGTCGAGGGGGAAATGGTTAGCTCCGCCGTCCTGCGATCAACGGGTGGCTGGGAAAAATCTTGCCGACTGCGACGGATCGAAGCATCGTATGTTGCCGGCCTAGCTGTCGCTCGCTCTGCTGGCTCGACGGCTTGGGATTTCTTCGCATTTTCTATGCTGCCGGCCATCTTTGCCAGCACATCCTGCCAATTGGCACGGGACTCGCTTGCGCCTTCCTGCCATCGGTCGTCTGCACCACACCGGCCTACTCTTGGACGTGGCAAACCTGGGATGGGTCGTGGTTGAGGTCACCTCTTAGGGCTACGGAGCACAGATGCTAGTTCCCTTTGTGTTCTGCTATCGTGATTACAACAAGACGAAGCGTGAAGTCGAACACAATCTGCGCACTGTTTACCGACCTGTCGGTATCTCCACGGTTTTCCTCGATGCCTTCCAACGCTTCGTTGAGGAGTGGGTGGAGAACCACCCGAGTTACTCTGCCGTTTTCGGCCCCAACTGCCAGACGTTCGTCGCGGATGCAGTCGCGTTCTTGCAGGGCATCTCGGACTCGAGCTCCGATTCCGACTCGGACTCCGACTCTGACGACTCTGAGGACGGTTCCACATCCGCTTGAGCTGGGCACTCTACAGCCTAGTGAGACGGCAGTAGCATAGTATACTCTTTGCCATTTTTCTTTCTTCTTCTTCTCCATCTCCATCATGACAGGCCTCCGATACAACAAGCTCATCCGTCGACGAACATGCCAACCGAGTCCCCCCCCCCCCCCCCCCACCGACCCACCGTCGGTCGCTAACCACCGACCACCACCCACCGACCACCACGACAGCAACAGCACCAGTCACCCCCACCCCACCCCACCCCCCCACACACACTCTCACTCAAATCCACACTCACACACCATGTCTTACTCATGTACGTACCAAATACCTCTCCCCCCCTCCATACCCATATATCCCTATACCCATAGCCACTCACCCACAGCCACTGCGCCTACCATAGCTATGAAGAATGCTGAGCTGAAGGCTCTGCTCAAGGAGCGGGACCTGCTGACGACGGGCAAAAAGGCTGAGATGGTTGCTCGGCTGGAGGCTGATGACGAGGCCAAGGCTGCTGGTGGTGCTGAGACTGGCAACAAGGCTCATGCTGATGCTGGTGCTTCTACTGCCGCTGCTGCTGGTGGTGGTGCTGCTGCTGCTGCCGCTACCGCTACTGGTGCTGCTCCGCCGTCGTCGTCATCGGCCTCTGCTGCGCCGGGCATCATCTCCATGGCTGCGGTCAAGGATGATGCTGCTGATCCCATGTCGCTGGAGGCGCGGAAGGCTCGTGCTGCCCGCTTTGGTGTTCCGGTCAAGTACACCCCCGAGGAGGAGGCCATGATCAAGCTCCGCGAGCTGGAGGAGCTCGAGGCCAAGCGCAAGGCTCGCGCGGAGCGCTTCGGCACCGAGTACAAGCCGCTGCCGGAGACTCTTGCCGCCCGCCGCAAGGCGCCCACCATCGGGCCCAAGCCCGTCCTTGACGCTGCCGCCATCAAGGCCCGCGCCGCCCGCTTTGGCACCGAGCTCCCCAAGGAGCTCGCCGACAAGGAGGAGGCCGAGCTCCGCCGCAAGCGCAAGGAGCGCTTCGGCACCTCGGTGGCTCCCTCGGCCGAGCCGCTGCTTAAGAAGGCCAAGGGCCTGTAGCCCTCTCTCGCCGCATCGTCGTTAAACACCATTCTCGCCGCCACCCGCAAGCTCGACGATGAGATTTGCCACAAGACCAGTCCACCCGGTCTGGTGCGATGCGCCGAGCCCGCGCCCAGTCTCGCCATCAAAGTACTCGTAGAAGAGCGTGCAGTCCGCAAAGTCACCGCTGCCGAAGCAAGCCGGCGTCGGTGGCGCGTACACCGGCGGTAGACCCGGCGACGACGGCTTCTCGAACAGAGAAACAAGCCGGCGTGCGAGATCGTCGGCAATATCGTAGAGTGCCACAAGCCGGCCCGACCGCGTCGGCAGCTCAAACTTCAGCGTGTCCCTGTAGTGCGCACCGTGCTTGCGCAGCGCGTCGATGAGGAGGTAGCAGACCGGGAACCAGACCGAGCCGCGCCAGCCCGAGTTGCCACCGTATGCGTGCGTCCGTGAGACCCCGGGCTCATACCCGATCTGCAGGGTCTGGCCGCCGATCTCGATGCTGAACGGCGAGTCGCGGTGGAACCGCGAGAGCGACCGCACGCCATGCGGCGAGAGGAACTCGTCCTCGTCGAGCACGTACCCCATGATCGACTCAAGCTGCTCCTGCGCAACCATCGAGAGGAAGAGCGAGCCGTCGTCCTCGACCTGCGAGACCGACGGCAGGACCGCGAGCATCGAGCTGCGGTAGGTACGGAACCAGGCGATGCGCCGTGAGAGCGCCGGCAGCTGGCTGAGCGCCTCGCCGGAGACCGTCGTCACCGCAAAGATCGGAATGAGGCCCACAAACGACCGGACCTTGAGCGGGATGTGCTCGGTGTGGTCGTCTTGCGAAAGCATGTCGTAGAAGAAGCCGTCGACCGGATCCCAAAGCGCCCCACCGTGCGAGCCCATGTTGTACGCTGCGTTGCAGATGAGCACAAAGTGCTCAAAGTACTTGGTCGCCGTGTCCTCGTATGCCGGCGATGCGTAAAGTGCGAGCTCGATCGCCATGTCAAACATGTTGAGGCAGAACAGCGCCATCCACGCCGTCCCGTCCGACTGCTCCAGCGTCGTCCCGTCCGGCAGCGGCGCCGATCGGTCAAAGACCCCGATGTTGTCGAGGCCAAGAAAGCCGCCGGCAAACACGTTGTGCCCGTCGGCGTCCTTCCGCGCTACCCACCACGTAAAGTTGAGCATGAGCTTGTGGAAGACTCGCTCGAGGAAGACCGTGTCGCGCCGCCCGCATCGTGCATGCTCCATCCGATACACTTTGAGTGCCGCCCATGCGTGGACCGGCGGGTTGACATCGCCAAAGTCCCACGGGTACGCCGCCAGCTGGCCCGCAGGATGCATGTACCAGTCGCGGAGCTGCAGAATGAGCTGCCGCTTGGCCCACTCGCCATCGACAAGCGCAAGCGTGACACACTGGATGGCCAGATCCCACGCCGCCGGCCACGGATACTCCCACGCGTCCGGCAGCGTGAGCACGTCTGACGCCACGTAGTGGCCCCACTCGGCGTTGCGGCCCGAGAGCCGCGACGCAGGCGGCGCAGGATGCAGGCTATCGCCGCGGAGCCAGAGATGGACCGAAAAGTGGAAGAACGACTTGGTCCACAGCATGCCTGCCACCGCCCGCCGAACAAGCGCTGCCCTCTCGGCGCTCACCTTGGCGCCGCCCGCCCATCGCGCCAGCAGTGCAGCGTGAAACTCATCGGCGTCGGCCTTGCGCGCCGCGAGCACGCCTGCTGCGTCTGCAAACGGCTCGTCCGTTGGCTTCGGTGCGTAGCGGACCCAGATCCGGACCGCTTCGCCAGGCCCAAGTGTGCGGACAATGTGGCACGCAGCCTTGGTCCCGCGCGCCTCGGGGTTGACCGCACCGGCGTCTCCGTCCACCACAGCCCGATGGAACGCGTCCTTGGTATACGGCGAGGCGCCGTCCGGCGGATCGACGCCAAACACTGCTTGGTAGTTGGTCTCATTGTCGGTGAAGAGGAACGTGTCGCGGCTTGCAACCCGCTCGATGCCGCCGTCGCAGCCAACGCTTTCAACGCCCACGTAGTAGTAGCGCTTGCCCAGATGCTTGTGATTGGTGATTAGGCCGCCGCGCGCCTTCGAGTACCGAATGCTTGGCTTGACGGCATTGGGGTCGCAGCGGACGGTGGTCAACCGCGCAGATGCGTTGGTTGCCTGGAAGGCGTTGTCGGAGATGGGGCCAGGATCGCCGCCGCAGCTTGCGCCACCTCTATCAACCCCGCCATGGACGTCATCGTCCGACGAGGATGACTCGTACGGCGCCAGCGTCGTCGGCTCCGACGGTGGCTTGGTTGCGTTCCACGACCAAGTGTTGCGGTGCCAGACATGCGGAAGGACGTGGATCGGTGCCGCATCGGTTTCAGACCTGTTCGTCACCGTCACAATGTGGAAGACGTCATCACCGGCAACCTTGGCAAACTCGATCTCCACATCAAAGTAGGCCCGGGCAGCAAACGCATCCTCCAGCGCATGTCCAAGCTCATACTCATCGTCCCAAAGCCCTGAGGTCTTGGCCACGTCAACCAGATCGGCGTAGGGAAACTCAACGTGTGGGTACTTGTACAACATCGCCATGTAAGCGTGCGTCGGCACGCCATCAGTATGAAAGTAATCTGTACACAGCCAGTGTGTGTGTGTGTGTGTGTGAGTAAAGAACGCACCGAGCTCGGCCTCGCCTCCAGCACTCTCCATCTATCTCTCCAGCCATCCTCATCGCGGCACCCATCGATCAAGCCTCCCCTCCCCCCCCTTCGCCCCTCCCTCGTGCACGTACACTCCTTCACATCTTCGCCATGTGGACCTTCGGGCCCAGTGACGCCGAACAAGCGCTCCTTGAGGATGGGATCGAGACCATTCCACAGAGCCAGGGCCATGACACTGTTCTGGAATCGGTTACACCAGCCACCGAGCCCATCCTCTGCCCATCGATACGCGCGAGATCTTGCATGATCATGCGAAAGTATGACCATGCATCACCATCGGCCGAGTAGTCCTCCCGAACTGTTCCCCAAGACCGATCACACACATACGGTCCCCATCCCTTCCAGTCTGCCTCACGTCGCTGTGACGCCTCCAGCCGAGTATCTTCACGCGTGCTCATACACAATGCTCACACTGGCTCAGAGAAAGCCGAGATGTGTGTTGCAATGCTGTTGACTACTCGTCACCGTCACCGTCATCGTCATCGTTGTCGTCGTCGTCGTCGTCGTCAGCCGATGTGACAGGCATGGCGTCACGCATCGCCACGTAGTCAGCTACTCATTGCCCTCGCCAGCACAGATCGACAACACCAAACACATACGCTACACCGTGTATCCACATATCTCGTCCAAGACGCAGTCCGATCTCGGACAACACCTGGCCACCGAGAGAGCTCAGAGCGTTTGAACTCGGTACCGAGCTCGATCGCGCCGCGCTACGCCGCATCATCAGGCTACTAGCATCGTCACAAACACTACATCATCATGCATCCCCCGCACCGCACCGCCCCGCACCCCCTCCTCCAAACTCGCATCCGTCATGGCCATCGCCCGCGGTGACTCTGCCAAACACCTCAAGTCACGCACCCAAGACCACACAGCCAGGCCACAGCCAAGCAAGCGACGGCGACAGCAGCAGCAGCAGCAGCAGCAGCAGCAGCAGCAGCAGCAGCAGCAGCAGCAGCAGCAGCAGGAGCAGCAGCAACGACCTAGAACGACACATTCAACTCACTTTTTGTCCGACAACAACCATGCACAACATGCGCAAGGTTGCTGTTGGTAGCCTTGGACTTGTGGTCCTCTGTACCCTTGCCCTCCTTGCCTCTGGCAAGCCCTTTGCCAAGCTCCCGTCGATGGCGCCTCTCCTCCCTGACATGGCTGACGAGCTTACTGCTGCTTCGACTTCATCTGCTGGACCTGCTGTCTTTCTCAATGACTATGAACATGATCCTGTTGCTGCTGCAAAGGCTACAAAGGTCGAGAGCCTTCCTGGTCTGGATGGCCCTCTCCCTGCTCCGGCTTATGCTGGCTACGTCACTGTGGACAAGGAGTACAACTCTAACCTCTTCTACTGGTTCTTTGAGAAGGACGGCGGCATGGAGCCCGACACCCCCATCATCCTCTGGCTGCAGGGTATGTCATCAATGCTCGCCCCCCTCCCTCTCCCCCTCCCCCTCCCCCTGTCCATGTCCCCCCACTCACCGCCCCCCCCCCCGTCCGCCATCATCATCTCATCACAGGTGGTCCCGGCGGTACCTCGATGTTTGGCCTCTTTGTCGAGTCGGGCCCGTACGGCTTGTACCAGAATCTGACCATCTTTGAGCGCGAGTACTCGTGGACCAAGTTTGCTGGCATGCTGTATGTGGACAACCCGGTGATGACCGGCTTTTCGTTCACAGACTCGCCTGATGGCATCTCGCGCAACCAGGACGAGGTCGCTGACAACCTGTACGCCTTCTTTGTCTCGTTCTACAAGGCCTACCCGCAGTACAAGAACAACCCGCTCATCATCGCCGCCGAGTCGTACGGCGGCAAGTACGCGCCGGCCATCACCTACAAGATCATGACCGAGAACGCAAACTCGTCCAACCCGAACCCGCCCATGCCGCTCAAGGGAATGGCCGTCGGCGACGGCCTCTCTGATCCGGCCACCCAGATCCTTGGCTACGCCGACCTTGCCTACAACTTTGGCATCGCCGACCCGGCCGAAGCCGCTACCATGCGCGAGTACCAGAAGAACATCCTTCACAACATCGAGACCAAGAACTGGCCGCTCGCCTCCAAGCTCTTCAACGACCTGGTCGACGGTCCGCCCGACCTCTTCCAGAACTACTCGGGCTCGCCCAACTACTTTGACGTCCGCATCTCGTACACCCCGGTCTACGGCGGCGACTTCTCGGCCTTCCTCAACCGCTCCGACGTCCGCGCCGCCCTCCACGTCGGCGACCACTACTTCCTTGACGGCTCCGTCGCCGCCGAGGGCCTGCAGGACGACTTGTGCAAGACCGTCAAGCCGCTCATGCCCACCATCTTCAACAACCTGGACGTCCTCATCTACAACGGCCAGTTTGACTACATCGTCGGCGCCCCGCTCACCGAGAACATGCTCGCTCTCTTTGGCCCCGAGTGGCACGGCTGGCGCACCTGGCTCGACCAACCCAAGGTCATCTGGCGCCTCGCTCCGTCAGACCAGCACGTCGCCGGCTACGTCAAGCAGTTTGACTCGACCTCTTCTACCACTTTCACCCAGATCGTCGTTCGCGACGCCGGCCACATCAGCCCTTGGGATCAGCCTCAGGTCATCTCCCAGATGTACCAGAACTTTGCCTACGGCCTTCCTTTCAAGCCGTAGTCTCACCTCGTTCTCCATCCCCTCTTTCGTTCTAATCATCATCCCTCGGGTATTTGAACGCGTACACCAACTCGTCTTTCCCTCCCCTCCGACCGCTTGCCCACTCCCCTGTCCGTCCCCCCCCCGGCAGCACACACACATACACACACACACACACACACGGCTGAGGCGCAAGCCATACAGTCACCCACCCTCACCACTCCACCCTCCCACCATGCACATAACCCCTCCATCATGTTCTCGAACTTTCCGTCTGTCGCCTTTCATCCTCGACCGCGTACGCTCTCTGGCGGCCGTGGCGGTGGTGCTGGCGGTGGTGGCGGCCGTGGCGGCCGTGGCCGACTCGTCACATGCGCCGTCTCCCGCCCGCTCTGCTGCCATCATCACACTCCGCTCGGCACATCCTCCCACAGTAGCTGCTTCATTGGATGCGCTCATCAATGCTGCTGATGTCGCAAAGGGTGACATTCATCTCGATGCGGTCTATCTCGTTCCCATCTTTCCGCTCTCGCCATCGGCGCAGCATGCCATCGACGCTATCATCGAGGCCGCCGTCACGACTGCGACTCATGGTTCTGGCCGTGCTTTGCTGCCGACTCCCGACGTGGTGCTGGTCGATGCCCATGTTGAGCGCTTTGACCGGAGGTCAGGCTACAGTCGCCGCGGCGATGACGTGTGGCGGTGGCGATCGTCCGATGATTGGATGCTGTCGGGCGTGGACAACGAGCCGGGTCCGCTGGGCCTTGGCGTGCCACGGGCGCTGGCAGCAGCAATGGCGGTTATGGACAGCAGTGTTGACATTGTACTTGTCATTGCTGACTATGTCCAGCTCACGCCAGGCGCCCTGACTGTTCTGGGAGCCGGTGATGGGGGGCTGGCCCCGGGCGTGGTGGTCCAGGGCATGGTGGTCGACGCCCACGATCGGGCGCTTGTCACCTCGCTGGAAATGATGCTGGCTCCATACACTGCAGAGACGTTTGTGCGCACTGCCAGGAGTGGAAGCGAGAGCGAGGGTCCCGAGCTTCATGGCCTTGTCCCGCTTCCGCTCGACACGCTCGCCGGCTACCACGCGTCGCACCTGGATCTGCAAGCGCCGGCCACTGTGGCGGCAGGCAGGTTCACGACTCTCGGGGCGCTAGCGCGAACGACTCTGGTCGAGTTGCTAGACGCTGCCGCTGTATCAGGCACGCTCGACGATCCGGCACTGGTCTTTGAGCTTGACGCGTGCGTGGGCAACGCAGCGGTGGTCGCAGTCGAGTTTCGGCCTGCGATGAGAGGCCTGGCGTACATCGAGTCAGTGGACGTGGCTGCTGCTCCGCTTGGCGAGGCGACTGCGTACGCTGGCATTGACTTTGCCTATGCTGGTCTCCTTGCCCGCCGTGGCGACGCGCTTCGCGGCTCTGCGGTTGCCGACCGCGATCCGGAGCTCGACGGCTTGACTCTGGTGTGGAACATGGAGTGCGGCGCAGGACAGACGCTCGGATTTACGATGGAAGCGGTAGGTTTTGCGCTTGCACTCCGGCGGAAGGTTGATCTCGCGCTGCAGGTCACGTCGTGGTCGTCGTGCGCAGACGAGTTGGCCAAGGTGTCGCTACCTGGTGGTGCTCGTGACGTTGTGCTCCGGCTTGCGCATCACGACATGCTCGAGCGATTTCGGTTGGGATGGGGGGAGACTGCCTCGCCCCCGCACGAGCGGCCGCGTGTTGCGCTTGTCATCCATCGCGACCCTGGGCGGTACCGCTCGTTTGTGGAGCGAGCGCGGCGGAGCCTGGGCAAGGCACAGGTGTATGTCATCGGCCGGTCTATGTACGAGACGTCGAGCATTCCGGACGACTGGGTCGAGCCATGTAGCGATGACGGTGTTGTTCGTGAGATTTGGCTCCCGACCCAGTTCAATGTGGACACGTTTTCGAAGCGCGGCGTGGCGCAGGCCCGGCTTCGGGTGGTGGCCGAGCCGGTCGATGTCGGGGCGTTTCATCCCGGGGTGCGGAACGCGGCACGCGACGATGTGTTTGACGTGCTGGCACTCCACAAGTGGGAGCCGCGCAAGGGCGGCGACGTGCTGCTCGCTGCGTTTGCCAGCGAGTTTGGCGCCGATGACGCGGTAGCGCTGTGGATCCGGTCGCACATGGACGACGACAACGTGATGGAGGCAATTGGCGCGGTGAGCCTGGCGGGCAGCGGGCCAGGCACGGGGCCGAGCATCACCATTCTGGGCGGCACGGTCGAGAGCGCGATGCTGCCGGTCTTCTACGGCTCGTTTGACGCGTTTGTGCTTCCTACCCGTGGCGAGGGCTGGGGCCTCCCGATTGTGGAGGCGCTGGCTGTGGGCGTGCCGGTGGCGGCGACCAACGTCTCGGGCACGACCGCATACCTCGATGCTACTGTGGCGTGGCCGCTAGCCTACGAGCTCAGCGAGGCCGATTCGGGGGTAGGCCAGTGGGCTGAGCCGTCGGTGGCGAGCACACGGGCGCAGCTGCGGCGGATGTATGACGACTGGGCCAACAACGGCGGCGAAGCTGCGAGCAGAGCTGCACGAGGGGTGGAGCGGATTCGCGCGCAGTATTCGTACCCGCAGCTGGCCGCTGCGGTGACAAGCGAGCTGGCTCGAGTGGCGGGGAGGCTTGAGGCTGATGTGGAGGCTGCGGCCAGCGCAGCGGCCGAGGCCGAGGACACGCCAGCGCCAGCACCGGGCGACAGTTCGTGGACGTTTGGTGAGGGCCGGCGCAAGACCAAGAAGGCGACAAAGGGCGGCCAGGTTTCGATGCGGATCAATTAGGTGAGGGCGAGCCTGGCGGCGGCGGCGCGCGGAACCGCATGACCGGGTCGGGATAGTGCGGAAAGACGTCGAGATCGCCGTACTGCGCCGCGAGCACGTCGAGCGATCTGGTCTGCAGCCACTCGACAAGCGACGAAGCGCCAGGGGTGTAGCCGTCGTCGCGGGAGCGGGCCATGGTGATGAGGGAAGGCGAAGCGAGCTCGGGGCGGGCCAAAAAGTGCGCCATGCCGGAGAGCAAGTGCTCCATCTCGTCACGGGTAACGAGCGCATGCGGCAGGTCGTGCATCTCGCCGGAGAGCAGGACGTCCTCCCAGTCGAGGTCCGGAGTAAAGGTGGCGAAGCCGTCTGGATCGTTCGAGTCTGCGGCGGACACCGGCGGATAAGAGGCGACCGAAGACGTGGGCAGCGTCGATGCGCTCGATGCCTCCATGCGGAGCAGGGTCTCGCGGAAGAGGGCGTAGAGGCCTGAGACCGGCTCGATGTCGCCGCCATAGGTGTCTGCGTAGAGGTCAGGGAGGCCGAGAGCGACGACCTCGTCCCAGAACACATCGTTGGGCTTGCGGTAGATGCGATCGCGAACGAGGCGCTTGATACCATGGTTAAAGAGCTCAAAGCATGTCCGGCGCTTTGCAGTGTCCCAGCGGCGGGTGTCATAGTCCCAAACCGCTTGGAAGACAGCAAAGGTGCCCGGCCCGTAGTCGCGGTCGTAGTCGAGCAGAAACGGGTTTGCAACGTTGAAAAAGTCGAGGCAGACGTCGACGACGACGGCAGATGTCATCTCAATATCGACAGTGTTGACCGGGAGCAAGTGGTCGTGATCGGCGGAGCATGGGCGAGCTGGGAGCGAGACAACGTCGATGCGGACGGGCTTAGCGTTGACAAGCTCGTCGCGCGGGGCGGAGACGTCGTCAAAGTACAAATTCTCGCAGCCGATGCGGAGGACGCCTTCTGCGTTCTCACCTACCCATGCAACAAACGAGGTGTTGGCAGTGGCCGGATCGGTGCCCGGATCGTGCTCCGGGTTGGCCTCGACAGCGCCAGTGGCCGGATTGTACAGCACAGCCGGCGGCATCTCCACAAACTGCTTGGCCCACGGCGGCTTGATCCAGACAAAGTGCGAGAGGTAGCCCGAGTAGACAGCGGGCATGATGAACTCTGAGATGGAGACTGCATCAAAGAGCGCGGCTGGGCGAGCCACTGTCTCCGGCCGTAGCTCCATGGGCAGACCAGCATCGGGATGCGAATCAAAGTGGACCAGGGTGATGCCCGAGGTGGGAAGCTTCTTCCGCCCGATAGCCCGGTAGATGTACTGCAGCACATCGTTGTGATCATCCACAATGTGTGCCTCCAGCCGCGCCTTTCCCCGCTGAAGCCGACCGGTCTTCCTTGCCCATGCCGCCAGCCCATCACGCGCCATGCCCGATCCAGCCGTGGCCGCTCTGGCCGTCACCGGCTTGCCTGATGCAGCCGCGCCTGATCCCGTCGTCGCCTCATCCAATTCAGCCGCGGCCGATCCCGTCATTGGCTTGCCTGATTCAGCGGCGTCTGTCGTCGCCTCTGTCGCGGCTCTCGCCGCTGCCCGACCAGACCCTTGCTCGCGGTCTCGGGAGCGGTCGTTGGTGGTGGCGGTGGCCCCTGCTGGGTCCACCACCCGTATGACCACCTCGGGAGGGCAGGTCCATGTGTTGAAAGGCTGGTCTCCGGAGGACATGGGGGAAGGAGGGGTGCGGTGGAGTGCGATGGGGTGCGGAGGCGGAGGGGCGCGGCCACATTGGCACAGACTTTGGAGGCGGAGGAGCAGAGGAACCACAAGATATGCCAGAGATGGTGTGACCACCACGGCTACCTTGTCAGATCATAGTGGGTACATCACATTCATCCATCTCTCCATCCATCTCCCCATCACAGTCATCCATCTCCCCATCACAGTCATCCATCTCCCCATCACAGTCATCCATACCCCCATCACAGTCATCCATACCCCCATCACAGTCATCCATACCCCCATCACAGTCATCCATACCCCCATCACAGTCATCCATACCCCCATCACAGTCATCCATCTCCCCATCACAGTCATCCATACCCCCATCACAGTCATCCAT